CATCTGCCATAGCACAACCATGACAGATAGCCAAGGCATCATGACGATGGCACAGATGGCACCTGTGGTGTCTGCCATTGTCTAGCATGAATGACCATGGTTTTTTGTTCAAGGATTATAGTGAGTGTGGAGAGAGAAAAAAAAAGATTTTTTGTATGCAGACCCAAAAAATTAACAGTTATGGATCACTGGACCACAATGGGCGGTTGGATTACATGTGATCATTTTCTTTTCTTAAATAGAGGGATTCGATCTTAGAAACTTCTTATATATATAGCTTTTATCTCACTTATTATCCTTATGTATGAGTTTTCATAAGCATTTTAAAATGCAACTTCAGTCTAAGAGTCATCGTCCAACGTATTGTGCCTGTGTATGAACTGCAAGTCTAGGGTTTTTTCTAGCATAATTACTCAAATTAGCTGCCTAGAGCTATGTTTGGAATTTCTATTTCTCTTTTGCTCTTAGTTTTATGCTGATCTTATTTTCTTTTGTAGTGATTGTTGGGGAGATAGCTAATTTTGCTGCTTATGCATTTGCTCCAGCAATTCTTGTAACTCCCTTGGGAGCTTTAAGTATTATTGTCAGGTATGAAACACCTTAGTATTGCCCTTGTTGATTCAAGAGAAGCTTTCTTGGTATATCATTCTTGTACAGGTTCATGCATGAGCACACATTCTCTTGCACAGTAAATGCAATGCATGTTTTTATGCAACACACGTGGGAATGTGTGTGTGTGTACATGCATGTAGTTGTGATAGTGGTTTTTGTGGTAGAGTGTTTTTATCAAGATGACATTTTTATTCAGTGCAGTGCTTGCTCATTTTGTTTTGGAGGAAAAATTGCATATCTTTGGTGTGCTTGGTTGTGCTCTTTGCGTGGTGGGTTCAATAAGTATTGTTTTGCATGCCCCACAAGAGAAACCAATACATTCTGTTAAGCAAGTGTGGCAGCATGCTACGCAGCCAGGTATTTGCAGATTTACTGGTCTCTTAATTCAAATTTATTTTGGAACTTAACATTTGCTCTTGATTTGTCATTCACACTGAAACTACATGGGTTTTTTTTTCTTCTTTTTTGTGGCACGGTAATATATGTAAACTTGTTAGCTTTAGATTTCTTTTGCCGTGTTAGACTTTGCTTTAACATTATACATTGATTATCGATAAGGGGTGGTTGAGCTTCTTTATCCACTGCTCCTATATTATAGAACAGCTAGATAGGAGATGAGTGTGATCCGGCAACCCGAATGTGAAGATAGCACAGAAAAGCATTTGCTTAGAAATTCTAATATTTGTGTTGTATGGAGAAATATGAAATGCTGGGAATGTTGGTGTTTCAGTAGAGACTCAATCAGGCATGTTGGCTTGTTTTGAAACAACGAATTTTAAAATAAAATACCATTTTTTTACTGAAATGGTGTGCATGAGGAAAAATGAGGAGTACTATAAGAGTAAGTCAAAGGACACTGCTTGAATGTAGTATGCATAGTTCCTTGGACACACTCTATGCAAACATCCTAGACATGGTTAGTACAAAGCTAATTTTTTTATTCACAGGTTTCATCGTCTACACCTTTTTAGTATTGATTGTGGTTGCTGTCCTCATTTTCCGATATGTGCCACGTTATGGGCATACCCACATGGTCGTATATGTTGGAATTTGTTCACTCATGGGGTCTCTTACGGTCTGTTTCAAAATTTTGAGCTTGTTGATGTAATTACTTTAGGTTTATGTATACCTAAAGATATTCTTCGATTATCCTTGATTCGTCTGTAGGTTATGAGTGTGAAAGCAGTGGGAATCGCTTTGAAGCTGACATTTTCAGAAACGAATCAGTTTAAATACTTCGAGACTTGGGTTTTTGTATTGGTAGTGACAGTATGTTGTGTTTTCCAGATAAACTATTTAAACAAGGTAAATACGTACTGAGCAATAATATTTATTCTGTCCTATTCCTGTTAGGGAAAGCCTTTTTTATTTTTTGATCACCATTATATTCGAAGTCCATACCGATTCAGTATGTTGTGGGATATATGATTTTGCTTTAATATTTAATTTCCAAATCACACCAATAGTTACAAGTACTTCATTCTAGGGAACTTTCTGCTTAGGATTTTTAAGTCAGACTGGTATTTAATCCTGGAGGCAACTTGGTGCTAGATTTGAAAAAGTCTTGTAACTAATATGGAAGAGTTTATCTTACATACAAAGCTAATTAGAGCTGTTGGTTTAGTGTTTGGACAATTTGAAATTACAAAATAATCAAACTTTTGAACCTGGTCAAAATGCGGCGCTGCTAAATTGAGAACCACAGGCCAAAGCTTCAGAAGAAAATTTAGATGCTGGTTGGACTTGGAGAAAATTTTCAACTGTGGTTGACCTTTCAGAATATTAATTCTTGGTTCCGGCAGCTCTAAGAACCATTGATGGAGAAGCAAGCATATATAAAATGAAAACCTTTTCAAGTAGACTCTAAGATTTTCTGGCAAGTTGTGAAACGAAGTTATGAAACTTCATTTAGGGTGTTTACTAAGATGTGATATTTAAGGAATACTCTGATCTTTTAACCATAATTTTCATTCAATGGATTTTGCTATAATTTTTCATTCTTATGGCAGATAGCACATAACTTAAAACTATTTTTACAATTGTGGTTCTGAAAAACCGGTTATTTAGTGTTCAATATTGTGCATGTAATTGACTCTTAATTGTCTCTCTCAATATAGTTTTTAGGCGAATGCTTAATTTATATTGTTGATGCATTTTTGCAGGCTCTTGACACCTTTAACACTGCTATTATAGCTCCAGTCTACTATGTTATGTTTACAATATTCACCATTCTTGCCAGCGTGATCTTGTTTAAGGTGATTTACTACATGTACGTTTAAATGTTTGCGTTCTTTGGTTTTTTTTTTCCCAAGTACGGATGAGAATCATTTTCTATCAATGCTACATAAAGATCAGGTTTCTTTTCTTAGTGTTATGGTAAATGAATGGCTTTGCCGTAAATAACAATGCAATTTAAGGTCCAAAAATGACATCATTCAGAATGGAGTTTGTTATAAGATGACATTGGTGACCAGAACGTCTATGATCACTTCAAGGGTTTATATGCCTTAAATGTTTGAAGTCTATTGTTTGATCAAATATAGTTACCAAAACCTTAGTCATGGCTAGTGAAAATCTCATGGTAAAACTTGATTTCATTCTTTGTGAAGAACACAACTGCTTGCACTTCCAAATTCCAATTAATGCAAGCCTACTGGAACTGATAGATAACAAATACCAAAAAATAAAAGCATTAGGTTAATGGAAGTTGAAAATTTGAAATTTTGGAAAAGATAATGTGTAATTTGCTGTTCTCATTACTGTTTGTGCAGGCAGTTCCTTACAGTTTCATTGTGGTCATTATATCTTTTGAAACATTAGTATTATTTTAGGCTTCACAAATTCGGTTTTTTTTGTTGCTCCTTTTTTCTGCAGGACTGGGAGTCACAAAGTGGAGCACAGATTGTGAATGAATTGTGTGGTTTCATCACAATTCTATCTGGTACCTTCCTCCTTCACAAAACCAAGGATATGGGAAATGATGCATCTAAGGATAAGGACCCCCCTCTCGTCGAAAGTCCTAACCATGTTGATACACCCTCAAATACTGATAGCCACAGACAGTGAAGTTTATGCATCGGTACAGCGTCGTTGTTCAGTTATTGGCACCCTCTGCAAGTAATGCTCGTTCATGCAAAGTGGAAAACTGGGGGAATAGTATTTAGCTAAAAGATACTTCATTTTTATGAGGGCACATGAGATGGCAAAGTCTAAAGGGGAAAAGGAAGAAAAGAAGTGAAGCTGACCTCTTTAAGGCAAATATAATCAGGAATCAGGATGCAGTTTGTTATTTGTAGGGATTCCCCGATACTCGGTTTTTTTTAATTTCTTTTCTTTAACAGTGTTTCTTGTATGAGAGACAACTTATTGGGGGAATCTATTATAAATTATTAATGCAGAACAGTGCTTCATACTCCCTTCGGCCAAGTTCACTAATCAAGGTAGGAAGACCCAAATTAATTTGTTGAGAGTGAAAGCCAGAGAGGCAATTAAGGAACCTTTCCCTTATGTGGAAATGATGTGGAAACTAAAAAAAATTACAAATCCGTGCAAAGATCCAAAACAACCAAAAGCAAATAAGAAGAAAGAAGTGGTCAAGTGACCACTTACTGAAAGATAATGGGGTCAAAGTAGGAAATGGACTAGAGGGGTGTAAACCATCTTCTTTGATCAACATAACATAACGTTCAAGAACTCGATCTGTTCAAGAAATTGCTCATGTGTTCCATCAAGTTTTGCAACCAGGCACTGCAATGAGTCCGCAAGTTATAGCTTATGCAAGTTGGGCACGACAATGAGTCCGCAACTTTGAATAAAGTTGAAGCACAAACTTGAGGCAAAAGAAATTTAAGAACCAAATTGGAAAGAGTGGTGATTTTCCCACTCCCCTTTTATCCACCTACACTTCCATTTGTTTTTTAATACTTTTTACTATAAGATAAAATGGAGTGTAAGTGAATAAAAGAGGAGTGAGAACATACAATTTTAAAAAAATAGAGTGTAAGTGGATAAAAAAGGAGTGAGAAAATCAGTACCCAATTGGAAAATGTCTAAAAGTTTGGGGTGGTAATGTGTAATTAACCATTTCTTTTATTATTAATAACAGAAAAAAACTGAAAAAAATGAAAAAGAAAAGAAAAGAAAAGAAAAGAAAAGAAAAACGATTTCGGACAACCAAATCTGCTGTCCCTGTATCTACTCTGGTGGATTGCAAATAACAAAAGAGGAGTGAGAACATACAATTTAAAAAAAATAGAGTGTAAGTGGATAAAAAAGGAGTGAGAAAATCAGTACCCAATTGGAAAACGTCCAAAAGTTTGGGGTGGTAATGTGTAATTAACCATTTCTTTTATTATTAATAACAGAAAAAAATTGAAAAAAATGAAAAAGAAAAGAAAAGAAAAGAAAAACGATTTCGGACAACCAAATCTGCTGTCCCTGTATCTACTCTGGTGGATTGCAAATAAAATTCTCAACTTCGCAGTTGGAACTATTGGTCCTTCTATCTCAAACAAAGGATTCACAACTACACTAACCCATCAACTTTCCACCACAACTTCCCCGCATTTTCTCTGCCAATTTTCCAAGAAAATGCCCACCAGAGATTTGCAATCTCCTTCTCAAGGTAAGTAAAGTACTCAACTTATTCTGTACTTTGATGAACAATTCTGATGCTTTCTCGATCTGGGTATGTCCAATATTAGCTGTTAGCTATTAGCCTGTAGGATTTGGACTTTTAGGCCTTTGTTCCATGCCACACAACTTGGTCTGAAATAAGGTTGGGATTGTTTGGATAGTAAAGATTGGTGCTTTAGCCCAATGATGCCCTCAAGAAGAAAGAAGTGGACAGAGGCCGAGGAGAGAACTCTGATTGACAAATACGGTGAGATGGTATCTGATGGGACGCTTGCTAAGATGAAAACCAGAGAGAAAAAGTTTAAACCCATTGCTTGTTATGTGAATTCTGTGCACCATGTTCAAGACCCAATTGCCTACCGTTGGCAATGGTCTTGGAAGGATGTTTCCACCAAGGTCCAGAACATGAGGCACCAGTATCTTCTTGTCAAGCAGAAGATCAAGAAACAACAACCCGACGGTGGTGCTAGCAGTGGTGGTGGTAGTGGGGAGTGTAGTGGGGAGGAGTTTGACTGGATGGAGGGCCTTACCCATTGGTCGAATTTCTTGAGATATAAGGAGGTTTTTGGGGATGTGGGGATCGTGAATAGCAATGGTAATGAACTGATGGCATCTGTGAATGGGGATGGTGAGAGTGGTGGGGTGTTTGTGGGGAGTGGAAGGGGAATGGGGCTTGTGGATTTTGGGCAAATGGGCCATTCCGATGGGGATTTCGGGGCAAGGATTGATGGGGTTGAGAATGGAGTGATGGGTTTAGGATTTGAGTATGATGGGGAGGAGGGAGAGGAGAATTTTAATGGCAATGATCGGGTTAGGGAGGATGGAGATGACAGGTTTGTGTGCGAAGAAGTGGAGCAAAATGGTCATAGTTTAAAGAAGAAGAAGAAGAAGAGGGAGGCGTCGATGGGGTTGAGAAAGAAGGCATGGGGATTTCTAGGTAACCAACTAAGCAAGTTGAAGGAAATGGAGGCCCGGTTGGAGCAACGTGAGGCGGAGAGAGAACGGGACAGACAGAGGAGTGAGAGTTTTAGAATGGAGTGTGAGCAAGAACGGGAATGGAAATGGGAGGAATGGGTAAATAAAAAGGAGGAGAAAGAAAAGACAAGGGAGAAGTTGAAGAAGCAGAGGATTCTAGAATGGGAAGCATTGGAGAAGGAGAGTGAAGAGAGAGAAAGAAGAAGAAAAGAGGAAGAGTTGATTCATGAGAGGGAATGGGAGGAGAGGATGGATAGGAGGAGATCAGAATGGAAAAAGAGGATTGACGAAATGTTGGGTCACCACCGCGCAGAGATGGGCCAGATGCAGACTCGTATTCTTCATGAGCAACAAAACCTTACAAGCCAGTTACTAGGGATTGTCTCTCAGTGGACTGCTCATCCAGCTGGACTGTCTGATCATGCAAGTGCTAGTAACCATTATTTATCACAAATGATGCAGAATTTGCACCATGTGAATAGTTTGGTTCATGAGGATGCTAGGGTTGAGGGAGAAAATCAAGATGATCAATTCATTGTTGATGGGTAACGTCTTTGCTTGAAGACACTGCTCTCTGCTTAGTAAGCAAGAATGTTTGCAGTGTTGGTGAGAACTGTAAAGGTTAGCAAATTGTTTAATGCATATGTTGTGTACTGTGTTCAGTTAGGTATGGTTATAGACTGGTCTGTCGAGCTTGAAATCAAGTCAATGAGGACTATAGATTTCCCAATTCCAATTTTTTATGTAACTATCTTGTTTAAAATGAATAAAGTTTCTTTATCCTTCAATAATGTGTTGGCAATATGAGCGTGAGATCAGATCTTCTTCATCAAGTGTGTATTAATGTTTATGCATTTTGATATGGAGCTCTTTTGGCTGGCATATTTGACCTAATTCGGTGTCAGTAGAAATTAGCTTTGTTCTCTATGCTATATTCATGTTTCTTCAAGTATTTGAGTCCAAGGGAAGTACTTGAACAGAGACTATTCTTCCAATGCTAACTTTAATATGGACTTTATGTAGTTGCTGCAACACAACTTGCCTTTAGTATGATTCTCTGTGTGAATTTGCTTGTGAAGGAGCATGCATGCATGTGCGGGTGTGCCCTTGCACATGTGTGAAAAGAGGAGGATTAGAATCATTATGGTTTTCAGTATGTAATACAAAAATATACTTAATTACATACTTGCATGCTTTAAGTGTAATTATCTGTCGAGCAGATAGAACTTGTCTATGCAGTTCCATGTAAAAGAAAAACTGGATGGATTTAGTTCTTGTTGGCTTCCTGAAATTGACATAAATATTTTATTCCTCCAAATGGGGTGGCATTCCAACTAAGCCTTTAGCCCAAAAAATGGGTCAGCTATACGACTACTTCGCTTCTCCTAGATGAATGTAACTATTCTTACCGAAATACGTTTTTGATAATTGTATATTTTGTTGCTACTTATATCCATGTAATTTGGTTCTATTCTTGCTCTGGGGGTGAAATTATACTTTGCAGTTAAGGTAATCAACAATAAAGCTAAGCAACTTAAAGATGAGGGATTTCAGTCCTTTCAAATTGTTTTGAGGAATTGTGCTTTTGGAAATCGCTCTTGTTTCTTAACAGCAGATAATCATTTGCCTGCGCTTATTACAATATTGATTGCCTATTGACCTGGAAGTGCTGTTGTCTACTTGTAGTGGAATCTCAGATGCTTGTAAGATTTGCTTCATGTATACTCATGCATATATGCATCTAGCTTTTATCTGCAGATCAGGTTGTTTTTACCAGGCTGTTGCTTCTTTAGGGGTAGGATATTTGGGTGTGCTTTTTTCCTAGTCTCTGCATGGCAGAGTAGGTTTTAAGAACTGATACTTTAAAGAGACCTGGACTGCTAAGGATTGACCCATATGAAGATAAAAGCAAAACTAATTACTGTTGTGGTAAATGTTACATGATTAGTTGATGTAAATTGAAATTCTACTGTGTATGTTTGGTATGGGGAAAAAGTCCATATTGTTTACAGTGGAATATAACTCGTTATAAATTTAGAATCAAATTTTCACTTCAGTGGCATCAGAAATTTTGGGTCTAATACAGAACTTTTCTATAACTTATTTTGGCATTCTTCAACTACAATAGGCCCCCCTGGCCCTCCAAATATCCACCATCAGTCACCGATACAAAATATATGGGGTATACGTTAGAAAAATGTTACAAACTTATAGAAATTATATTGTCTAAGAATGTATATAATTTTCAAAGGCTTTGTAATTCAAGTGGTTAAGAGCAGTTACCCTATACTCGGGATCATGTGTCCCAAACCATCCTCCCCAAAATCGACTTGTGAAATTTTATAAATATTTCATTAGAGCCCCATTATTTCTCAATTTTATTTTTCTGATTTTCTAATGAATTTATATTCTGATGAAAAATTAGAAATGGACTGCTAAGAATTGACCCATATGAAGATAAAAGCAAAACTAATTACTGTTGTGGTAAATGGTACATGATTTGTTGATGTAAATTGAAATTCTACTGTGTATGTATGTATGGTATGGGAAAAAAGTCCATATTGTTTACAGTGTGGAATATAACTCAGTATAAATTTAGAATCAAATTTTCACTTCAGTGGCATCATAAATTTTGGGTCTAATGCAGAACTTTTCTATAACTTATTTTGGCATTCTTCAACTACAATAGGCCCCCGGCCGTCCAAATCCATCCACCATCAGTCACCGATACAAAATATATGGGGTATACGTTAGAAAAATGTTACAAACTTATAGAAATTATATTGTCTAAGAATGTATATAATTTTCAAAGGCTTTGTAATTCAAGTGGTTAAGAGCAGTGACCCTATACTCGGGATCATGTGTCCCAAA